CAAAGAAATGGATTTACTCTTTACTTACCACTATAAAAATGTTGATATCTTATTTGCTAAATATATAGAGTGAGAGTGGATTGATCTGCCTTTAGGTACCTAAAGTCAGGTATCAAGCACACCCTAGCTGCCTGTGATTCCTCATATGACCAATGGTGAAAGATCAGTCATGAGTGGATTCTTCCTGTTCCAAGTTAGGTTGCTAGAATACCTGGGATGATTATCTGGAGATGCTATTTGCTTCCTGTTCATTATAGAGGATGCTTAGAATATATGCTTAAACCTAGTCAACTAATATTTGGGCATTTAGATTGAAGTGTGATTAATCTCACCCACAAAGCTTTATCTCAGAAACAGCAAGGTTCCTTTTTTCCTCTTGCTGGTCCCTGAAATAACCTTCTTGATTTCTATAGACTTAACTGTCCATAAACAGATTGACTGCATTTATTCTCGAACCAATATTGACTTTTATTTAAAACTGTTACTTTCTTGGTGCTACCCACCCTAGTCATATGTTTACAGACACAACAATCTTATCTCCATTCAGCCATCAATTGCTAGACTTAATAAACCGCATATATGTTTCCCCTTCTAACCTAGGATCTCCCTTGGCTTTCCCTTCTGATCATCCTTTTTCTGACCCTGTGTTACTCACTCAGTATCACCTTTCTTGACTATAGTACACCAAAATTTTGCAGTCTTCCAGATGAGCTTCTACTAGCCTCATTGAACTGTGGAAGCAACACTATAGTTTTGCCAGAGGTGCATTCCCCAGTTACTTTATTTCTTTCTTCAACTTCTATCTTTCATTATCAGAGTTCCAGTCATGATAGCTCTTCCACTTTGCTTCTGTTACTACTATAATATCTGATTAACAATACATCAGATATGTCAGTTGTAACAAATAGCAATTTGGCACACGCAAGTTTTGTTGCCTCTTTTTGCATTGTTTTCATTTTGACAATGAAGATCAGTGGTATGAGCTTTCATGCAGTGAAATTTTACGATTTTTTCTTCCCATTTGTCAAACTTATAGGGAGAGTGGGGAGAAAAACATGGGACAATGATTTTCTGCTCTTGAAAATGAACTGTGAGGCCTGTCTGCCCACAAGCATTGCCAAACCTGAGGCATAAGGAGGCAGCTTTCCATGCCTTCATGGAAACATGGAAAAATGCATCCCAGCCTTCTTATACAGACCTTTTTATGAGGATGAATGCCACTTAACATTTTCCCTTTCAGCCTTTTGGACATGCCTTTAGAAGATGTGTAATCTTCACACCCTGTGCTATAGCTGATTTCCCTTGCATTTCCCCAGCAGAAGCTGGGGAAACTACTGGAGAAATGTCTAAACCTTGCTAGTGGAGCTAGTTTAAACTCTCTTTCTGTGGTGTCAGGTTGCTGCCTAAAGCTCCATAGCATAATTCTGTTGCCACACAAAATGTGGTGGCAAGGGCCAGACTGTAGCCTCACTGTTCCTGCCATGAGAAAAGTCAGAGAAGGATTGGAGCTGAAGACCTTTGGGAGCTGGCTTGCCTCTCCTACTTCTGGGGAAGCAGGAAAAATTGAGACAGTAAGAGCGCTTTTAGTGAAAGTTGTACTCACACACAACAACCCACCCCACAGCATGATTTGCAGAGCTTTTGAATTCCACAGACAGCTAAAAGGTTGTCAGGACCTAGGGCTACAAGCACTTCTGTGTGCATGAGAACCAGCAAAAGTGCAGGTGCTTTATATCAAGTCCATTAAAATATTTTCCTGTCCCTGTACTAAATAGCAGCTTTGTAGCTGGACAGAATGATAACTGTTCCCACATCTACATAAAACCGATCACTTTTTTTTTTTTTTTTTCCCAGTGTTACATGTTTCTTCTTGCACAGTTAAAAATACATGAAAGCATTCATAACTTGATGGTAATTCAGCCTTGAAACTGGCTAATAGCTTATTCAGGCTCCAAGGCTGGTGAGAACTCTGTACTTGTTCCCACTAAATTTATTCATCCTGAGAGATTTCCAAGGAACACTAATACAAAGCACTGACTTCATAAGAACAGAAAGACAAAGTGTTCCTATTTCATCTTCTCCATGGAGGGATGCAGGAAGGCATCATCAAGATTCTAATAAGAAAAGATGGTTTGGGTACAATTGTTTGAATTATTAATTGTGAATAAATAACTTCCTTTTCCTGTTGTTCTTTTTGTGTGTATCATTTCAAGATTTATCCTAATTTCCTCTACTGGACTTGCCTTTGTAAGAATGGGGCACTTCCTTAATAACACCTCTTGTTTGTCTAAATATATGCAATGCAAGAATGCTATGACTCAACTGTTACAAAAAAAACTAGTATCAACTATTAATTTAACAGTAAAGAATATTGGTTTTCAATTGTTTCAGCACCTGTGCTACATTCTACTGACAATTACTCATGCACATGCCAATGCTGAATTCAGTTGTGTTTTTCTCTCTTCATCTACATTAATAATTTCAATTAGGATTGGTGGAAGCTATGTTTATGAGCAGCATTATGCTGTTCTGAACTCAATTTGCAACTGTATTTATTCTCTAGATCCTACATTGTGCCTCACCTCTACCCTCTGCCATAAGCTACATACATAGTATCAGCAATGGTTTTGAAGTAGTTTGACAAAACCTGTCAGTTAAAAAACCCCCTAACAGATGTTCAGTGAGCATGTGGATGTTAAACGGGTGGACTAAAAGGATATGTTCTGTATTATGCAACAAATCTCCATTTGTTAATTTCCAGTTCTGGGTTGAGTATACCACTGGTTGTAATCACTAGTTGAGATTCACCAGAGAGGTCTTCCACCTCTGCCCACACCCACAAATCTGGTTAAACCTATTTCATCCTGTTTGGCCATCACTACTACTTGCACAGACCAGATGACAGAAATATAGATCAAATTGCCCCTGCCAGTGGGAGGTGTTCTCACTGTGCTAGCAACACCATCACACCTGCCATAGGGAGGACTTCTTCCAAATTCCATAAGGAATTAGACCCTATGCTTCTCAAAAGAGAAACATACTTCTAGGCTGGGAACTACTGCTAGAGAGGACACACAATATTTTAAAATGAAAAAAAACCCAAAACAATGAGCTGACATTAATGAGGTTGAATATATATATATATCTATATATATATATATATCTCGCTATTAAAGGGAACTTGTTTCAGGGTTATCCTAAAATAACTACTATTCCTCTACTTGTGCTCCTTAATCAGATCTCATAACACTGTTTTAAATAGAGAGCAATACTATTAAGCCCAGAAGGATGAAACCAAATAATTCAGCAATTGTAGGAGTGACAGGCTTATCTGCATTCCTTCTTTAATTTCTATTTCAAAAATATTCTCAACTTTCAAGCTGCCATACTGCATTAGTATTTTGACTTCTCATTCTGTGTTCTGTGAGCCTCCTGAAAATGGTAATTTTTCAAGTAAATAAAAAATAAATCCAACTTTTAAAAGCACACATTTCTTGCTACTCTAATATTTAAAATCTGAACATGAGACTGAAAGCAGAAAAGAAAGGTGAGGAAATGGAAGAATAACAGAGAAATAAAGAAAATGAGGGAGAAATAAAAAATTGTTAATGAAAACTTTCCCATCCTCTTGTGTGGCAGCTGGCTGTCATCTTTTAAATGTTTCAGTAATCTAAACAGCTATAGCTCTTTTTCCTTGCTCAATGACTAACATTATGTAAAACACAAAGCCTCCATTTGCTGTCTTTCAAAGGCATGACTATAAGCTATTCTATAAAATCATGGATTTTCAGGTAAACACCTAACTACTATGTGTCTGTGTATGAAAAAGAAATGAAGTGATATTCCTTGAGAGGAAATATCTCCATACATTCAAATAATTGTATCAGTTAGGACAAACAATTGGAGGAAGTAGACTTTTCAGCTTCTTTAGTTGTTACTTAATTTTAAATGGAAGTCCAAGAACAATAGTCTTATGTTGCAGCATTATATCATAATTTATGTATCTGCTGTTCTCATGATTTTTATAAAAGTAATACAGCACCTGCTAAGAGAATTGTTCCCACCCTGCTTGGAGGAAACAGTAAAGCATTGCCTGAACAATTCACCCAAGAAGAATGTTATTGAATCATACATTTTAAAAGAACTCTACATTTTAAAACACACCTGTGCTGGCTTTGGGAAACAGCTCATGAGAAACTGCATTTGCTAGCAGCAAATGTGCTTTCTCCAAAGACATGATTTAATAGGAACGCTGAGCTCCTGGTTCACTTGGGTTTGACCCTTCGGAAACTGAAGATTCATGGGCTTGCACCTACCTCTATGTAAATCAGGACTATATTCTTTGAAGTCAACAGATGTAAAAATCTGGGTGAATAAGGATAATCAAGGCCCAGGGCTTTCATCCCTGCCCCTCCGCTTTTATTCAGGTTAGGATTTCAAACATATAATTGCAATATTTCTTTCCTGTCATTTGGGAATGTGGATTGGGGCTGAGCTGTCACAAAAGGAAGAATATGTGCAAACTTGCTTTGCAAAGCTACAGCATGGCACCAGGGCAGGTAGTGGTGGCAGATTTCCAGATGTCCTGTCATTCTCCATGATCTCACAGCACTGCTCCAGAACTCCCTCTTTTGCTAACTCCAACCCTCTCTCAGGTACCAGTAATCATGACAATGTTGATCACATTGTAGCAGAAGACTTCGTGCCTTCCTAATACATTGTCATGCTTCTAAATGAGAACTGCCCCAATATTGATGGTATTTAAGCCCCTATCTTTCATATATCATCTCTGTGAAACATATGAACCTCTCACCTTGAACTGGTGGCACCATTTGTGCTCGAGTTCCTTACTCAAAGCAGGATGAATCCCAAGTGGGAAAGTTATATACTTGGTCAATGTCTTAAACATCAGTCCACGCATTGGAGGTGATGTTGCAAAGGTTATGGTTGCAGCTGATGTGTTCAGCCACCTGCCAGAGGCACATGACACAGTAGTGTTTGTTGAAATAAATAACATGATGAAAGACGAATTACTTGCATTCTTACTAGCAGGGTCTGCACTTGAATCAGAAAACCAATTTTTAAAAATTAAAGAAACAGAATATTTCACTCCAAGAGTGGAGTTAATGCAGAAGTCTACCTCAGAATAAAACACTTGCACTTGTACTGCTCAACTCTCAAGACAAATGACAAATCAGTCTATCCTGGCACAGAGATTTATGTACACAGATACCTTATGCCTCACAGTCCAAACCAAGAGTCTCATCCACATTGAAGCATTATTAAAATCATTGCTCTTTAGTCTCTTCATTTTTTAATATGAAAATCAAGTGTTAAATCACAGGTTAAAATGTAAAGAGAGTTTCTTTCACTTCAGAAAGCTCAATTAAAACAAACAGCTAGCATAATCTAGAACACTCACCATCAGTACTTGGGAGTGGGCTTTCCTCCATGTGCAGAATTAAGGCTGAAGTTCAGAACACTGAACTAATTTCTAAACAAGCAACCAAACCAGTAACACAGAAAAATACTGCATATTACATTCCTATATCTTAATACACACTTCCACTACTAGAACGATCAGTATGTGAAAAGACATTAGAGATAGTGTTACAAGAACATGGCCAGTACATTACTACATAAGCAACCTGTGCGTGTTTTTAATTTATCACTGGCTTCCCAAAGCTGCCCCACCGATGGCCTTCAGGCCAGGTGTGCCCTGGCCAGCTCCTGAAATGGCATAGTGTGTACTTTCTGTGTGGGTCCAACACTTCTTTACTCCTAACCCAGAAATGAAGACAGTGTTTCCAATTAAAACGAACAGCCTCAGTTTTGGTGATACAGATAAAGAGCCACTAGCAATTCTCACCTTGTTTGTTGCATCAGTTTATCTGGAATTTGTGCTGCTGTAACTAAAAGGAGAATCTGGGAACTAATAGACATTTGCTTTATCAGAAAAATTAAGAAAAATATTTATACAGTGTTTGATGTCAAATAATAGTTTAATGAAATCTCCCACAGTAAACAGTTCTTCATAGCATTATAAATGCTGTCCATCTCAAAATGAACTGGCTAAAGAGCTGACACTTTAATTTGTGCTGTCAATAGCATCCTGTTGCATTTTCCAAAATGGAAAGAATATAGTCTTTGCAATTAAGATGCAGGATTAAAACTGATGATGCACACTGCTCTTTAGTGACTTACTATTGCTAATATCATGAAGAACATACATGTGTTTTCACCTGTACTTGCACAGATTGCCATCTTTTCACAGTGTACACACATCTGAGGATTTTTATGCTTCCTACCCTTGGGACCCACTGCTCAGTGGGGGTCTCTTTGCTGAGCCATTGAGAAATGGGATACCCAAACCAGACAAAGAATAAACTCATGGCAGAAAATGCAGCAAAGTTTTTGCTCTCTGAAAGCCAACAGTGGGAAACTACAATGGGCCCGAGACAGTCTACCAAATGATTTATGACATACATGCCATTCTTGAATTATTTTTCCCCCATTAAACATGTATTAATATATGCGAGCCTAACACATGGAAAAACTTATCTGTTCTCAGGGAGAAAAAAGTCTCCCACTGTTCCATTACCTCAAGTTTAACTACTCTGAGCTGATGCTACTGTCTTCTAAAGATATTGTGCTATAGTTTGCTCTAACTCTGCTGAATCCCACCTTGGGTTTTAAGTACACCTTTGAAACAATCATTATATCAACACAGACTTTATCTACTACATTCATTGCTTGCATCACAGCAAATTCCTCAAAAATCTGCCTTTGTTAAACACAGCATTATACAATGCTACCTCATTCCTAGTCACAAAACTTTCAAACGTCAGGGAAAATCCCTCACCTAAGACTGCACGCTACATTAAAGTACCATGTTTTATTTTTACATGAGGATTACCCTTCCCCCAGATTTCAACTGATTACTATGGACCATGCAAAATGCCACAGACCACAGAAGCTACATTTTCAAATCGATGTTTTTATTGGTTAATGAGGCATTGAATCAAGTTCTGTAAAATAAACAGATTTTGTTTGTTAAAAAATGTCCAGAAGACGACCATTCATAGCAAACTTGTTTCCTCACAGTCATACAGAATATGAAATTGTTCAAGAAACAAGCAAAAAAGGAACACCTGACTAATTACTGTCAGTTTGTGTATGTATATATGTATGTATGCTTATACACAAATTACACACTATGTTTGTGCATATACTGTTGTGTGTGTACTCATACATATGTGTACATAGATACACAAACATATATGCATAAAGAGTACAGACTGAATTAATAGTCCACTGGAGAAATGTGACTTGGCTCCAAATGAAGTATTCTGAGTTAAAATAAAAATGATACAGCAAGATCTGTAGATAACAACCATTCTTTTTCCATTGGCCAAAACCATGATCTGTCTTTAGACTCACGGTCTACCTTTACAATGAAAATATGTGAGATCATTTGGGATCTTTCCAAATTCATGGTATTACTTCCATCCAGTTCAATCTCTGCCAACATTGTATGGCCAAACACTGAACAGTGTTTTCAACTTGTCCACTACTGAAATCAGCTTCTAGATTTAATATTTCTGGCAAAAGAGAAGATACACAGCCTTGCTACGTGTACTTTGGTAGTACACCCCTTTTGTTTTAGGCAGAAACTTGGCAATAATCCTAGATTAAAACTACTTTCCTCCTGCATCTCTTTATCACTGCTTTACATCAGTCATCTCCTGTCAACTCATTATAATAATTCTTGTGCCATCGTGGCTACCTCCCCAACATCCCAGGCCAGATTGTCTGGGCAGTGTAGATCAGACTGTATCAGTAACATTGTGCTCAATTATGAAATGTAATGTTTGGGAATTTATATATTTTCTCATTTTTGAGGGTATACATTTCTTGATTATTAAAGACACTATGATAAACACTGCAGTTCACTATATGTACACATTTTCCCTTATTTGTGTCAACTCTGGAAAGATCAGTGGCTCCTGCCTATGAACCATGGGATGCTACCACAGCTGAAAGCCATGGTTACCAGCAACCTACTGCCAGACGTTTCTCTGTTTAATTCAGCAGTTAGCAGAGCATGTAAAGAGAAATCAAAGGAACATGGATAGACATTTATCTTCTATTAAAAAATGGAAGAAACCAAACAGGCATGTATGTATTCCTCATCTCGATCATAAGGCAAACTGTAGGACAGATTTGTATCTAGACAACCAGTATTTAAAAAATCTGAAACTGAGCTTGGGACTATTTTATTTTGGACCCATTAGTGAACAAAGTGCATTAAGGCATCATTTTCAAAAGACACCTAAAGCAGAGTTGTAAATTACTGAGCAAATCTTTTCATAAAGCTGAATATTCAATTTACCCTTTTTCTACACAAGCAGATTTTCACCACTTGCATAGTAACAACTAAACACTGTAGGAAAACCATTCTTTTAAAGATGTCATATGCCTCATCATCTCCCAAAATGATCCGTTATACAAAAGCACTGTAGTAATTACAAAGGGCTTCTATTTTGTAGAAGGAAAAGAGAAAAAAAAAATGCACCCGATTCAGCTTTGAGATAAAGTAGGTACAACCTCTATTGCCTTCACTGAAGCTCATCCACCAACACCAGGATGAATGTAGGGCCTGCACATACAGATTCCTACTGCTGCTGTAAACTTACTATTTCCTCCTCATTCACAAAGAGAACTGTGCCTTCCCAAATAATCCAGGACAATGATAGCTCTGAGCAAACTCCAGCTGCAGTGTTTCTCTATACAGCACATGTAAAACAGATTTCCTTGTTTTGTTATAGAGACCACATAGTGTATAACAATGAAACATTTGTATTTAATTTAAAATCAATGGTAAAGTGGCACATGTCTCACTTCTAAGTTGTTGGCTGGGCTTGCTATGTTGAACCTTGTAAAATCAGCAATAAGCATTCACATATCTAGCATCAGAACCATGACATCTTCTATTACAATCAATCCTTAAATGATGTCGTGCTTTATCAAATTAGTCTACAGTCAGACCTTGGATTGGCTGCTCTCCTCCAGTGTTGCTGATCCTCAGAGATGGTATCAGTCTTTCACATCCTCGGTGATTCTACAGTGTTTCCCAAAGATGAAGGTGACGCACTTGTAGATGGGAATGTTGCCATCAGTAAAATAAAGCACCAGATGATTTATCCACTCACATTTCTAGGAGATATTCCACATGTTTTTTATGAACAGAGAGAGCACTGCCCTGTGAATAGAAGTAAATGAAACTTTCTTCTTTTGCTGTGTTGGCTAGCTCCACTTCCTCACTTGTTTATTTTTGTTCTTTTTGGTCTGCACACTCCCATGTACAAAGAAGAAACTAGGAGATCTCGCACTCAATAAGACTGGTAATGAGAGCGCTGATATTGACACGAGTAAAACCTGCAGTATACTGACTTGTCCACTCCGCAGTTTTCATCCTTCCAATTTCCTGCTTTTATCCACTATAAAATAAAACGATGCAAAGGGCTGATGAAACTTTAATTAATAGGACCATCAATGTGCAAAACAAGTAAGTCATTTTCCAGGTGTCCAAACCAGGCTTTCCCTTCCTTTTTTTTTTTTTTTTTTTTGTTTTATAAATAATTTATAAATCTTCCTGTAAGAGACTAAATACAAAACCAACCAAACAAAACCAACTGCAAAAGAAAGTTCTAAGATATTATTAAAGCCACTTCTTGTCATTCCATACAAAGTACACAGGAAAGAGATATTCTCCCCTTTTCAGTTCTGGCTGGATTCAGCAGAGATGGCTGGGAGGCCACACAGTCCACCAGCTCTGGGCAAGCTCCTACAGGCAGCTGCCTGGCCACCTTGGAAGACACGTCATCCTACCTTTTGGCTTTTAGCAGTCATGCAAGCTGCTCGGAGGAGTCTAGGTGGTCAGGGATAGGCAAGCCAGTTATAATGGTCAAACACTTATTCCACACAGTGAACGTGGGGCACACAGGCTGCCCAAATGTAATGTCAAAAGTGTAAAGGTGTAGGGAGTTCAAAGCATCGTAAAAAGCAAGGGAACCGTTGTCATAGTCCAGCAAAATCCCGACCCGCCGGAGGTGAGGTGCGGGCTCGATGGGGATTTCTTTGCTGTTGTGCCGCACCACCCACGTGTTATTGCAGCGGCAAAGCACCCAGGAGGCAGAATTCTTCCCGATCCACTCGTGCTTTGGTGCCGACTTGTAGGAAATACCAATGGCATACCTGCAAAACAAAAAACAACTCAAGGAAACAAACGTTTCCTGCCATGCTTGGCTCTCAGTAAAGTCAAATGTTAGCCCAGAGGACTCACTGGAACGCCTCAGACTCTTCTTCTGGTTAAATTCTACTTGAGCAACGTTTCACCACAACATTTGCACAGGCTTAATTAATGTTTTTTCCCATCTCTCTTTTGGGTCTGAGAGCTCAGGGAGACTTTATTGTCCCTTGTATTGTTTGTAGTTTGGCTGCTAGGGTAATTTTTTGGAGCACTTGCCTCTGGTATTCAAAAGGAAGATTGTTGAGTAATCAGCAACTCAAGAGTTTAAATCACTTCCAAACAGACAAATACAGAGGAATTAATTGATTTTAAAATACACTGATATCTGTCAGCTAATCTGATCTTTCCTTGCTCCTTTAATATATGGCCCAGAAGAAAGAATACAAGAGTAAACATCAAAGTACACATTAAAAAAAATAATTCTGCCATTCCCAAATATGTTTTGCCAGAGGTTGGTGTGGTTTTTAGATTCAAATGTGCATTTCTGGGACTGTGTTTTGAGTCAAGTGAAGCAGTGTAGATGAAGACATTGCTCTCCAAACCATAATTTATAGCAAGATGTGCAGGGTAAAAGGATTGTGGAAATGTTATCATTAATGGACACTGAGGGCAAATACCTGATTTCTCATATATAACAGAAATGTAAAAGTTCCTCATGTTCTAGAGACACTGCAGTATTTGTTGGGCTTTTAACCAACAGAGATTAATGTGCCATAAATTACTCTATTTCCATTCCCTAGTGTTGGCACAGGCAAACAGCATTTTTCTTGTCTGAGACAGTGGGCATACCTGAAGACCTTACTGATTTTTCCACTCCGTTAAATTCCATCATCATTGTTGCCTTTGAATCCCAAAGGAAGGCATCTCTTCCACTGACTAAAGGGCCCCTGAAATCCACCCCTGTATGACACAGAGGATCATTCAGGATCATCCTCCACTTCCTGCCCCTTGCTTCATACTCTGGGGCACAGACCTACAGCTCTGCTGCTCCGTACCCCCACCCCAGAAGCAAATCTGACTTCCACCCCTGTGAAACTGGATCATCAAACTGTCCTCATGTTTATTTTTTTTTCTTACTGAAGGATGCTAACGTCTTTCATGTTTAGTAAAGAAATGATCACACTTACAAAGTTTGCTCCGTTGTGTAAACAAGATGAAAATTTCTTACCTCTCAAAAATCTTAAAACATACTGTATGTGGATTCAAAAAACAACCATCCCAAGTCATGGGGCAAAAGGCCTGTGAAGGTTGCTAGATGTAAATCTGGCAGATTTAGCTCCAGAGTCCGAAAGTGCTGGAGACTGAGAAAATAATCTGACAAACTGTGTGAAAGTATACGATTGTCCTGCTCTTCTACTGTTCCACATGCCTCTGCAACTGGTCTCTACCAGATAAATTGTGCCAGGATCTGAACAGTGTGAATTACTGTTGTTTTCACATATATTTTTATATACATACCACGTACTCCCGCTTATAACCACTTCCCAGTAATGCCGCCCGCTGTCAATAAACACGTTGCCAGCTACTCCATAGCTCCCTTGGCTTGTGAATCGCTCTGGTGTGTGACTCTTTTTGGAGGATGTTTCATCACGTTCGACTGTCAGGTTATCATGAGACACTTTCAATTTTCTGTGAGCAGATTTGGGGTCCAGTTTAAATGGCTGACCTAGAGATGCACAGACAAAGATGGCAGAAGAATGGTTTGGCTTTGATTTTGAAAAGGAGAGTGGATTACCGAGCTTCTAAGAAGCCCACAAGATTGCATAACCATATTAATCTCCTCCTCTGAAGTGCTCTTCAGATAGATGAACCTATTCTGCTCCCTGCAATAGCTAATTTGCATTGTCAGTTTACTGTCAATCTCATTGTGCACTAACTTCCCCGTGTCAATAATCCCTGAAAAGAGCGCTGCATAATCATCACGCCCATTATCTCTGAACTAGAGGTAACCTGAATACTCTAATTCTTGCATGTAATTGAAACCAATATACATGCTAATAAAGGTCTGGGGGTTGCTTTTTTCACAGCATATTAGATTTAGAATAAATTGCATTCTATTAATTCTCTAGGGATAAAGCTCCATAATAACATCTTCATCGTTACTAAAAAAAAAGTATGATTTCAAATTCCACAAAATTAGTTTGAAAATAAGAAGCACTAGCCTTGTCTGTTTTTCACTCACAGCTTTATTTATAACAAGCACAGTCAACAATTCAAGATCACTGTTGAAGGATGCCCATGTCGTGCTGGACACTGTGCATTAAAAAGAAGGAAGTGAAATGTAACTCGGTCCAAATAATGTGGTGTAAAAACATTACTCAGTCTGTTGCTCTTGGCAAGTATCTTCGGCTGTAGCATGAGGTTTGAAGACAATAACAGGAAGCTTTTTGGTAAACTGAACCTTGTAGATAGAAAAATCCCACCACAATTCTGACAGGCTTGCTCATTGTGTCACAAAGCAAAATGATCATTTACCTCCAACAGGAGTCAACTAGGAAAGTATGACTCCACAAGTCATCTAGCAAAGCTCCTTCCCCTTCTTACTGTCTTTCATATCAAGAGTAAAAAATTGTAAGCAGAAGATTTGATGACATGCACAGAAAATAGAAATGAGTGCTTCCATGAGGTCTGTGTGAGGCACTCACACCTGTACTTCAAATAAGATGTAAATCGGTCAGTTATCTACTTTTGCAACATGTATTTAGTTATGTATTATGACCAAGTATAAATCAAACCTGTCGGAAACTATTTTGGGGCACATTTTATCTGCTTTTTCCTACCTCTTGATGGCATTAAAATACCAATGGCCTGCCTCTCTAACTAGTTAGCAGCTTTTGTGCTGCTGAAGCAGTATCTGAAGGATGTCTTTCTCTGTACTGAATTGTATCTGGTCACGTTATTTCTCACAGTCAGCCGAGAGATTGCTTTTGTGCCACACTGGATCACAAACAGACAAAAGGATAAAGGATTGCCATTTCCAGGTGGGGCCCTCTGGTTACATATTTGCTTGTAGGTTACCAGATTTAACAATACGCAGATTCTTGGTAGCAGATGTGGATTATATGAGAAGCTTTTACATGGAAGTGCAAGCTAGGTTAATAGCAGAAAGGAGAAGATCAGAAACATGCATGTGCCACTCTCTGCACCCTCCTTCTTAAAACATTCAGTATTGCCCCTCTTCAAGCACCCTCTCCTACAATAAGCAAGTTTCAGAGGGTGCACAAATCCCAGTGTTCCCTTTCCTGTACTCAGAGCTGCTCGTGATGACTACACGACTGAGGGATTGGCTGGGATGCAAGAGGAAAAAGGCTGAAAACCAGTCCTAAAATTGCTATACTACATCTGTTAATAATTTGCGTAACCATTGGGGTTTTTTTGAAGTGGGATCTCTGACTACTCTACCACCTCATCGAACTCCATAGAAAATTGAGGGAGATGGAGCTAAGAAGTTTTCTAGTGTCCTGAGAAAGAGATCATTTTGGAAAATAAAATTAATCTAGCTTAAATTAAATTTATGAATACTACACAAAATTAAAGTGGGTTTTTCTGAAACATAAGAAAAGCTTTTGCTTTGTAGAGGAAAAAGAATAGAAGGGACATTGAAACAAACACCCAAAATAATATTTCAAATCATTTCACATGTGATGGCTCTGTTCCTAAATGGTATTTCCAGTGACTAAACTACAGATGCATCTCTCTCAAAAAAGCGATTTCTTCACTACTGAAGACTCTGGCAATCCTGAATCAAGTTAAATAAGTGACTTTCATTGTGGGAACCACTTTAAACAAGTTAAACTGCTCTGTGCTCTTGTATCTTCCAAAGATAAAAACTAAATAGGAAGACAAAAAAAGGAGAATAATGCATGTGTGCTGGATCTCACGTTACTCACTGTTTGTCTTGAGCTTGCCGGGCTCGCTGCTTCTGCTGCCTGCCTGATTAATGGCCTTAACAATGAAGATGTACTTAGTGCCACTCTGTAAACCGTGCACTGTGTAGTGGTTTTGTTTGATATTGGGAACAATCATCCAGCTGTCGGCTGAGTTGCATAAACCTGCAATTTCAAAGAGAGCACATCAGTCATAACATACTGAACACTTTGTAAGAGAGGAACATTTAGAACACTCCCAAGCACCCAAAGACCAATATAAATTTTGCTTCTGTACCTTTTAATGTGTTGGTACATTTACTGAGTCACTACTTAATGCCACTAACTCATTTCATCAGCTCTCAGTCAAGGTACCATTTAAGTTATTGCTAAGTGAAGTCAACCATAAAAAATGGGCATTTAAGAAAAGATTCAGACACAAGCACTCAGATTTTTCATATCCCAGCACAAGGAATTCTTTATTGCTTAAGAACTAAAGGATTATGGAGATCCCATCAATCTACTGTTTGGATTAATTAACTCAGTTTAAGCCTCAGAAAACTAACATAAGTGGTAAAGCCAGGAGGAATGGGGAGGCACCTTTGCTGACAGTCCCCAAATATGCATTCTTCAGGACCTGAGGCCAAAGAGGGCAGAGCATGGGCTTCACAGCAAGCTTTGTCTCTTACACTCTAGACTTTGCCAGGATGTAATCTAAGCCAGTAAATGGAATGGATGAAATTTTTTGATTTATATTCTCATGGTTATATGTCAGCTGGGGAAGAGCTGGATAATTTTCCAGTTACAAACTTTTTTGTGTACATTTGATGCCTACCACAGAAGTATAATATGTAGAAAGTAAGTAAAATAAGGGAGGGGCAATATCATCTTCAAAACAGGAAAATACTCCACTAAAAGGAAGGTATTCATCTACATAAATTTTTCCTACTGTGATGTAACTGCAGTGGCAGTCAATCACCCATATTACTGTACATTTTGAACAGCTCTTGGACTAACGGATCCCCAGTCTGATAGCTCTCTTATTATAAATGTTTACATAAATAATAAATTTAGCATTCATGAAGTTTATATATATTCACAATATTTTTATATATTATACAGTTAGAAAAATATACATGCAGATGGAAGTGTATATATGTGTGTGCATATGTAAGGCTGGAAAATTTAAAAGAAACATGCTTGAGTGGATTAGGAATCTGATAGACTTCTTGGTCTCTGCGTTACTGGGCACAGAACATGTTATGAAAGCTATTGTGTTATTGAAAAAACAGCTTTTAGCTCTTAACTCATGTTTTACCAGCAAACCAGTAAGTACTAGTAAAGAGAATCTTTTAGAAAGTAGTAATTTCAGCTCTGCATATTAGACAATATAAAAACCTTTATGTAAGGCAAAAACTAATAGGCTACTGGTCACAAAATTTGAAAGAAAAAGACCTGTGATGCAGGTTTACAGACTCGGAGACAATTCATAACCATACTGGGAGATTCCTTGATAATTTGGGACAGATTTTTTATAACAAAAGATCACTAGAAATAGAACTTAAACCCCAAATTTTCACCTAAGATTTATGTAGCTTTTTTTCTGAAAGTTCTCTTATATTACATAATATCCTTGAGAGGCAGGCAGCTATTCATCATGCTGTGAAAATGGGCAACTGAGGCACAGTTTCAGGTGGGACTCACATCATCTCATCATATCATGAAGAGCTGCAAGGATTAACCCATTTTTCTGGACTCTGAGGAGAGGCAGAAATCAGTGAATAATTTCTTTCACTTCTCCAGGTATGAACATCCTACCACAAGTGCCTATCTTTTCTTGGCCACAGAGGAAGCCTAGGTGACCTAGCGCAGGTGAGTAATAACTTCACGTATCTAAAATGAGGTGAGATTAACCCCCCAACACTCTGATTTGAAGTGTGCAAGTCTAAGTCTGTGGCTGAACTCACACGTGGGTTGTGGCCTTTGGACCATAATTTACCAGAATAAGAACATTTCTCTGTTGCAGTTCCTGGTGTGAAGTGGGGAAAAAAGAATTGTAGTATGTTCCTTATGCTCCAACCAGCAAGCATCCTGGCCACATGTAGCCTCCCTAAACATCAGCTTCAAGGGATTAAACAATTTGCTATATGTGAATAGAAGCAGCAAAGAAAAGCAACATTGCAGCACTGTTTTTCTCAAGACTATTGAAAAACTAGATCACATAATCATCTGTCTACCTCCTGAAAAAAAAGAACCCAGTGTTATATCCCATGAAAATCTCAGTTGTGCCTAGCACTTGTAGTAAACTGCTTATAACAACATCAGTCCACCTCTTCTTTCACTGAACCATACATACTGAAAGATATTTATTTTTTTAGGCTGAGTGTGAATGGGTTTCCTAAGAGGAAGAAAGGAAATAAAAGCAGCAGTTTCCTGGCATAAAATATTTCACTGACTGCTCTGAAGAATCCTCATCTTTTCCCGGTAAAAATTTGCCACATCTACTAGAGTAAAGGCACACTTGTTCTGTAGCTGAACTACCATGCTGGTTTTGCATTGAGACCATGACTTATCCTGACTTATAGGTGCGATTGCTAAATAAGTGCTAAGTTAAAACAAAACAAAATGAAGCACTGGATTTAGAGGGAGTCCAGGATGACCAAGGAATCCTTAACTCAGATGCCTCTGATGGGGTATCCAAATAATATAAGACAGTAAGTGGGATGGATCCAGATAATGGTCCTGGAAGTGTCTTCTCCTTCCATAACCCTAATTTAAAAGCAAAGCTCTATGGTATACATAGGCCATATATAAACAAACCCTTACACAGACACAGAAATGCCCAGATTTTTGCCAAACGTTGTTGAAACTAGATTTGCATTAGTCACTACAACTCTCTAAAGGGCACATATTTCAGGCTTGCATTACACTTTTTTATGATACCCTCCAGAAGCTGATTGCTTCTTAATGAAGTATAAAATTTGGATCTAAATAGGTATATGAAGGACTGCAAAGGTAAAGTTGCATTGCTACGAGTCCCCTCTCCAGTCTATCCTCTCCTCCCGTGTATGTGGATTTATATATACCCAATACTCACTAGTCTGCAAATAGCTACACAGAGAAAATAATTAATTATATTATTAAATAAACCAGTTAATGGTTAATTTAGATTTCTATATAGAAGGCAGAGCCACAGTAATTTTAGGTATTGCTGCATCTTGGCTTCTGCTACTGGGGTTAATGTCAAAACACTCACAGGTAGGTGTACATTCATCCCACCTGACCTTGAACAAAGAGCAGAGTTCCTGTGTTAGGACGTTACCTAACCTAAACTCTGATGAGTCAACAGAGAGAGTTGGGAATCATCCTTTTGTCCTGACTCATGTTCTAGGCAAAGGCTCTATCCTCTTTGATGATGTAAGACACCTTGGTTTGGTATTTTTTGTCCTTCCAATCTTAGGCATCCAAACTACCAGTGTACAATAAATGCTGGATGTGCAGTGACTGACTTAAGTTACTTTGCTCAACAAAGCTTGCTGTCCCAACAATCACAGCTCTTGCCTATGCACCAAGGGGCTCAGTGTCCATGTGCTTTCTGACTGTGAGCTATTTGATAACAGGCTTTAAATTGAACTTTGATTCAAAAATCTTGTGAATGAAGTTTTGATGGTTTCAAAGTCCAAGTCCAAAATCCTTCAAAACACAGAATAGTAACTAGTGGCAGCCAAGTTAAGCTTTTAGGTGTGAAAGAATATTTTTTTACTGCATCAAAAGTATTTGTCTCCAGTTATGCCCTGTCAGGACAGCCCTTCTTCTCTGAATACACATGATTTAAAATGCTCAGGGAAATGAGCAAGCAGCCTGGTAACTGGACATCCAGAGGTAGCGTTTGTCCTCTCAGATCCCTGCCAGTGGCAGCAGATAAAATGAAAAAGCACACATCTTCTCCTCACTGGTGCAGCAGCAGGAGCTAAAGGGTTTCCTATTGTACCCACTCCTAATCCACTCCTACATTCAGGTTTCTTGTTTCAAAAACCCAGGGCTTTTTACAGGGTTATGCAGGTGGTAAAACAATGTATTTTAAAACTGTGGCCTACAAAAATGTAGAGAATTTAAATTACATCCTGGAATGGTGCAGTGAGCACAGTGATGTCCGTACAGGATGTGTGACTTTTCAAAGTAAGTTTCTCATAGTCTGGAGGTAATAATTTGTAAAGCTGTTTCCCTGGTGTTGATGCACTTTAAAAAACAGATGGGAAAAATCCCAAGGTGTAAATCCTCTTTAAATTTACACTGGTAGATTTTAATGAAATATATCTTCTTGAAAACTGGAAGAGGAGCACAAAAGTAATGGGAAAGTTATTTAATCTCTTGAGTGTTTTAATTATTTTAAAATGCTTTATTTAAATAGACTATTACCTATTCAACTTGGTAGAACAAATACAGTAGGCAAAGGTAACAGATAGCTCTCTACCCCCACTCTGCATTCTCACATCAAAGAAAATAATATATGCAGGATTTCTGCAAAACCCATCACTTTTTTTTTTAAGAAATACACTCTTTTCATCCTTTTCAAGAGGCAGAAGTTTTCTTGGTTTTATCCCAGATTTTCTTTCGTGCCATTAAAAGATACTCACTAAAATCCTCAGTAGCAATCTGAAGATTGTAGGGAATTGGTTTTAAATAAATTAAAATTTCCAGAAACAGACAAAAGCTAGACTATTCAAAAAATAACTGGTGAATCATAAATTCACTGTTTTTTCATGGAAGCTGGGGCTCCTAATTGGTTTAGATCCTTCAATATAATTTTATCCTATCTCATAGGAAGAGTAACTATGTAACACTGAAATGGTTCTTACAGTATTCTGTATCCTTAATACAGTGATTTTTAGTATTTAGCTGATGAGACTAACTAACCTAAATTTCATTTACCAGGAAAGAGATAATTATTTACTGCTTTTTGTCTTGAAGATGTGTTTTTCTTGAAGACATCTTAGATCACAGCTCATAAAAAACTGTGTGTTTAAATTTTAACCTTCCTGAGCATACTAAAGGAAATCCATGATGTTAAAAAATGCATACTCAATAGATACTTGAAAATTTATTGAAATGGCATAATGAAATTATAATGCATGTTAGCTAGCTAGTGACAAAGTAATTTTAAAAGCCTTTACAATATTCAGATTGCAGGTGATTAGCTGCCTCTCAGAAATGCAAATGTGCGAATGGTATAACTCTGAGAGCAACTGCTTTAGTAAAAGCCTGCTTAATTTAAAGTTCTCTATTGCTCTTATGCACAGAATAGGGCTGCCAAGCATTTAATAGCCAAGCGGTTTGGCCACATTTGGAAATAATCTTTCCTGTATGAAATAGGATTCAAAATGAAATACTCTATTTGGACCTTTTCCATCAAATGTTAACTCCCCAATTTTTCAGTTAATAAAAAAGAATATAGTTGATTATGTTGGATACAAAATACACTAGAAAAACATAGCACTGCTTGTTTTTGTTACTGAATTCTTAGCAATGTCTGAATGATATATGCCTCTGGTGGGGGAAATGTACTGGGGAGTGGAAAGTACAGTCAGTCTGGCTATGCGGTTTTAAGAAATGGATTCCAAAATAACAGCCTCCATTAGCATGGTAGGTGGGTATGTATGCAAAGTGATTCCTATTGTCTCAGGGGAAAAAAGCATGTTGGTTTAATGCAGTACTCTAGCTACTCCCTCATGACTAATTCATAGCTACAAAAACACAGAACTGTAGACAATCTATGAACCTGTTTACATTATCTGCTAGAGGCAACACACAATACCAATGGCAACTTTTTGGCATGTGACAGAGAAATAAATTTAAAAATAGTTATGTGCAACAGCATGCAAATGTCATAAATAGAAAAAAAATCATACTAATCCAAAATCTGTTCCATTAAAATGGGGTTTAAAAAAACCCCAATCACCTAGCTTCAGTTCATCAAAACATGAAAGCTGCAGTGCAGTGTCTGCTAATACATTTACAGTGAAAATAGCACTCTGTGTTCAACCACAGTACTAAGGTACACTCCAATATTCTAGGGACAATCTTGGAAAGTAATTTATAGAAGTTGGGATATTAGACCCTTCTGCAGGACAAAGCATATAATCCAACAAAGTGAAGAAACATCCAAGTAGTGTTCTAAGTAAAATCAGGAGGTTCATGGACAAATCTCCATTACCAGTGGAAGTTGGAATGAACTGGGAGAGCCTCACGTGTTAGAAACCTGGGCAGATTTGTAGCAGTTAGATTTGGTGGGAACATCTCCATTGGAGGTGTTCAAGTCTACATTAAATAATGAGATTTTAAAAAAGCTTTACAACATTTAGAAAACCCTTCCACATGTATATACATGTGTATATATATAGATGCATGTGATGGGTTAACACAGCTTTCAATAAAATTTAAATTAATAACCAGGATATTTGTGTAAGAGCTATCTGAAGAAAAAGAAAAAGAAAAAGAAAAAGAAAAAGAAAAAGAAAAAGAAAAAGAAAAAGAAAAAGAAAAAGAAAAAGAAAAAGAAAAAGAAAAAGAAAAAGAAAAAGAAAAAGAAAAAGAAAAAGAAAAAGAAAAAGAAAAAGATTCAGTTTTACATTTCTTTCTACTGTCATTTCAGTTCTTCAGAGCATTTTGTAAACACAGTTTCTTAGTGTTGATTTGTTTTATCTTCAAACTTTTAATGATAGCATTTTTGCAAAGGGATACCATGACAGTTCAGACTGCACACTGAGCACTTCATGATATACCCCAAAATTATCATTACCGCATCTCTGAAAGCAGACTAATTGATACATGTTTCACAGATCAAAGCTTTCACCTCCACATTGGAAACCTACAATACAGTCTAAAAATTAAATAACTTGTTATTTATTCCCTAGTCAGCAAAGAATAAAACCCCACATCACAAAGATGTGGAAACGATACACCTTTCTGCTGCCCTCTTCACACATAGTGCTAATAGCTGACTTGCATAAAGTCTTCTAGCATAAAGCCACAGACAAAAATGGGTGAGTAAGCAAGCAATGTACTGTGTTATCATTAAGTCCTGTCTGCTTAGTAATATTAATCAGGGAATCTTTTCCTTCCTTATCTACTTTGCTCCAGATTACTATTAGACATTTTTGTTATCCAGCTTGCTCAGATGTAGGAGCATGTGTTGAAGTTTACTTGGTCTTTCCAGCAGTCTCAAATTTTACACTGCATTGTCCAAAATTAGGCTGTTAAGTGAAATGCTAAATGGAGGTTTTGGCAAAACACTCATCAAATTTTCAGTACTCCACCTTATTTTTTAGTCAGTCTTGAATACCATAATATATTCACAGTATGCTACTTAAAAATGATCTTAAAAAGCCAGCACTTGAATCTTCAGATATCCTTTCAGATGGCTTGGAAAACTAACACCAGTTTAGTGATGGAGAAAATGATGTGCACTCAGCAACAAAAGTGTCAGTACAAGCATTTGGCTCAGTACTGAAATTTGGCATAGACCGTACCATTTTTCCACTGACATAAAGCTTGTAAACATGTCCACAGCTCTGACTTTCATCAAAGTATCTCAACAAATTTTGTAAGAAGAAATACACTTCTGCACTGGATCAAAACTAAGCCTACCTAGCTCATTGTGTGGCTGGGGTATCTGATGGTTGACAAAAGCAAGAGCACAGGAGGGTGTTAAGGAACAGGGAAAGCACAATCATTTCTCACCACACTCTCCCAGGCCTCAACATCTTACAGCTCTGGGACTTCCTGAGACAGAAAGAAGTCTCTGCACTTCATTCTTCTCAGTGGATTCTTTTAGCATGATCTGTCCAGTCATCTCTTGAATTCAAAAACACAACAATGCTCTGTGGCAATGAGTTCCCAATTTAAATTCATGTTGACTCAACAAACTCTACCTTTTGATTGATTTGGTTCATTTCAGAATCCTTGTTTCATAAAGCAAATACGTGTCAGCTAGTGGTATTCCCATTAAACATATGGGGAAGGAAGAAGTTAAATGACTTCTCCAATTTCATAGTCAGTGATCATTATGCACTGAACCCAGAAGTGTTGACTTCCTGGCCAAAGATTAGAAAATAATTTTTTCTCAGAGGAATAGTTATTTAACAAGAAAACAATCGAAGAAATAATCAGTAAGTTTGTTCATTAAAGAAAATCACAGATTCAAAACAGAGGGTGTATTTAATGAAAAATGTGCTATAATACAATATAAACCAATTATTGTTAACGTAATCATAAGTTCAACAAAATTATCATATTAATTGTTTTTGCGCTGCTGCTTGCTGCCTTAACCTTCAGTATACTGACACCTATACTTTGTAGCCTTGAAGACAGTAAAAATCAGAGGGAAGGACTTAATCCGTATTTCTGACAAAGGTCCAGTTGTCAAGGTTATCTAAATGACAACAGGACTTCAGTTCTAAATAATGACCAGTTCAACACAGGCTCCCAAGTGCCTGACTACCTCAGACAATGGAACTGAGGTCTTTGTCCCTGCTACATCTGCAATAAAGGATTCATGACACAAGAAACAAGACCTGTTAACAGGGACAATACTTGTGCCTTTGGGGATATGTGCTGGTTTTAGTCTTGAAAAGCCCTCACTACATGGCACTCCCAGAAAAGACACAAGAAATTTTAATTGAATTAATTATAAATTTTAGATCATTTTGAAATCATTATTGGATTGGATTTTAGCTTTAAATCTTCCTAGAAAATATTTTTGCTTTCTGTTCTTGACATATGAGTACATATATATTTAAAGGCACTTGGTTTACAAAGAAATCTTAAGGAAAGAGAAATAGTAAAGAGAAGGTTTATACTTACTAACAACATTAGCTTGTCCGGTGAAGATGGTGTACTGCAGCTCATAAGAGACGACACTGAATTCATCATCTGATGTCCAGTGGACAGTAATGGTATCATAAGAAGCTGTACAGAGCTCTTCTCGAATGGTGGGTGGGTTGGGAGCTGTGAGATACAGCAGAGGAGGCTTACTGACACAATCAGTAAAATATTTCCCCTCTCACCTGAGATTAGGGGTTGCATCTGATGTATGAGTTTGTAGCCATATCATCCAACAGACCTTTTAACAACTTTTTGCTAATTCGAGTAGTAACTCTGATTATCAATGAATTGTTGTAAAGGAATTATTACTATCAATACAACCACCTAGAAACTCCAGATTTTGAAAGTATTTTATATTAGAGTAGCTTTGATTTCAGTTGCCCTAGCACAAGTGATGAGTAGGTGGTCACATTAAACTGTGATTAAATGGGCACAGTTGACATGCTGCTTTTTTTAGGACTGTTCTGACCATCAGAGTAAAATTATCAAAGTTTCATTGATGCATATATCAAGAGGGAGAGTCAACACTTTTCACTGTTGACTTGAAAGTAGTATTTGCCTAGCCTATCTTACCAGAGACTGGCATAAGTGGTATTGAAAAAATGTAATTTTGGGGAAGCTTCCAAACACTCATGCTTTCATGCTCAATCTACTCTCTCCAAGTTAATGTTTGTTTATTTGCTAGCTATCCTTTCTAATACAGATGCATATAATTTAACTTTTCTTCAGTCTTACATAAAGAGTTCTAATCATAACATCATGACTGCATGACTATTACAGCCTAATCTTCAATGTCATTGCTAATTAAATAATTCTAGAAAACAATCTAAACATTTTAATAAAAAGTTGTCCCTCTTTTTTTTTTTTTTTATCAACAAGCAAGATCTCTGTGTAGCAAGCTATATATTCTCATATTAACACAAAGGTTTGTTTTGAAGACCTATTTGAAGAAGTGAAACTTGAAACAAAATTCTTAGGCCTAAATTTTCTTTGTTTACATTCTTTACAAACCCAAACACCTAAATAAGAAACAAATTAATCTTTCTTTGAAAGACTGGTGGGCCTTCCTGCATGCTTGTCTCAGTGGGAGCTTCATTCCTAATCATCTTCCCTTCATGCTACCATCCTGAAAAAAAAATAAATCCTTGTGCTTAATAGTGTTCCTCCCAGCTGTCACAGTGAGGAAGAAGGGCACTCAGGCTGAAACAACCAAAATATGCCTGCATTAAAGGAAAAGGAAGGCAAATCTGAATGACATTTTTGCTGTCAGCTCTTTTAACTTCTGTTAGCTACGAATAATGGCCTCAAAAAAGTCCCTCTGAGGGAATTCCACCTTTACTTTTATGAAACATCTATTTTACTTCCCATTAAGAATTTTTCTAGTTCATGTACTTGGTTTACTGATGTATGTGCCCAAGGATCAAAGTGCAGACACATTTCGAAGCAAGAGGCGTAAGAAAACAGTCAAATGTGTTTCATGATATGACCATCATTTGTGATGCTCTGAATATTGTAGCATGGAAGCTTATCAATGCCTTTTTTTGTTAACTCAGCAGAGGAATCACTGGGATAGACAGGGAATCATAGAGAGAACTGAACTAAAATAAGAACAGTCATCCAGGAGGGAAATATAAACAAAAGGAGAAGAAAAAATCCCTGCAAATTCTTGGAAAGATTAGTGCTGCAGTTTAGAGGTTGTGTACTAACTGAGGCCAACTAACCGTTGTGAGGACTATGCAGTACTGCATTGGTCCTATGAGCTATGTTTCAAAAATATATCCAGCAGAACAATTGCTGGAGATTTTTTCTTCCCCCTAGCTGAGGCTTCATCTTCGGATTTTGCCTGTCCTTCAAAAGCAAAAAAAGAAAAACTTGAAAAAAAATTAATTACAAGTTGATCCATTTTTTTGTGTGTGTATTCAACTAAAGTATTCTTCAGCCATCTCCTGCACCTAACAGAGTAAAACCTTTTACTTGAGAAAGGTACTTGTTATTACAACATGGATAATAAATATTAATTTATGAAAAGCAAGAATTACTGAAGGTTGAATGAACTGTAAACTGCATTTCAATAGCATAGCAGTCTTCAACTCCTTTGAAAATGACAGCCGAAGTTCTCTTTTGATATGCACACCTGGCTGGCCTTATGGCTGGAGATTTACGGGCCTTCATGTAATGAGAATGACAGAAAAAAGAGTTTTGACCTAAGCAGGACATCTTTTCCCTTGCGTTTGTGATTAACTCGCATCCACTTGAGACTATACTGCATGAAACTCAGTTCCTCAGCAACACTTATTTCATAACCACTCAGAATAAAACATAATATATCTGCTTCTCCTGCAGATAGGCAGCGAAGTCTATATGCAAGTTCTTTGTTATGACTTTCAAAATAATGTATAAGTCTGACTGCCAAATTCATCAATACACTGCACATACTCCTTTGGAGAGTATAAGTCCATAATGCAATTAAAGAGATTGACCTTAATGAGTTATCTTCATTATTACATTTGATAGTGTGTGATTTGCTTATCAAATTTACTAGTACTGCTACAGAGCTCAGGTGCCACAGGGAAAGCTCTACAGACTCCAGAGTGATCTCAAAGCTGCACTAGGTGTGTTCCACCACTGCCTAGGAAGTGGAAGCCCAGCATGCTTGCAGCCCAGCAGTGCAAGATATAAAGCTTCATAATACACCCTTTGGTCCCATTTCCCAGTGGAGAAGCAGTGATTGCCCGTGAGCTTTTCCAGTCTGTTTCAGGGTGAGGAGAGAGCACTGGCTCACAACCAAACAAACTGAAGTTTGACAAGTGATGCAGCTAATACTCTCAGTTTACTGGCAGCCTCCTGTATACAAACTGCTACCCAGTGTCAGGGAGAGCTGAAAAAAATGTGAAGCAGCTCTTGAAAACCCCAAATTTACAGCCTTGAGCAGTGAGGGAACCTGGAATCATTGACAGCAGATTTAGCAAGGCACAATGAAAGCTATAGTGGTTTAAGGAATTGCTTCCTAACATCTGTGGCTCTCCTTGGTCTTGGGGTGGCAATCTCCATAGAGGACACAGGGGCAAATATCTGGGAGTGGTAACTGTTTCAGTCACTCTGACTTTCATCCACCTGTATTCATGAATCAACACTCTCTGACAAGTGAGAAAATAATTGCTGAAGGCTGTTTTAATTCATTTGTATGACTTCAACTCAAAACTGGGCAGACATACTTAACAAGTCAGGAACCACATCTGAAGGCAGTAGAAAATATTAGAAAAGCAGTTTCTTAAATTTGCTCCCAGAAATAACTGGCCTTGTGAGAATACTTACTACCTTTCATCCAGGTTAGTCTAACTCACCTCCTTGTCAGTGTCATCTGCATGGCTTTTGCTCTGAAGCAGTCTGAAAGCACTCACACGGTCCATACACTTGAGAGGCAGTTTAAGAAAACTGCCACCTCTCATTGGTTAATCCCACCATGAATGCAGTGGCTCCTGGGTGATCATTGAGACTATATCTAAATCTTCTGAGCACAAGGTCACCGAGACTGACTAAAACCACCTCAACTTCCTTTTGGTTGCTCGGTCTCCACTTCCCTGCTGTCATGGGGTGACTAACTTTGTAAGGGTTCCTTACTGATTTTGATACTGAGTAAAAAAGGAATATCTAAGCCATCTCCTTGATTTAATGATGCGAGGAATACTCTTATTGCTGGTATGAACATGAGGGATTTGAAGAAGCTTCTCTGAACCTCTCTCATCTGTTCATTACTGGCTCCATGGTGTATCATGACCCTGGACTGAACCAGCATGCAAGAATTTGAAAGACACAGTTATATCAGATGTGGGTGCAAATCTGATGTGTTAGTAACGTGTCATGTGTGAGTTGGCATCAAGAACTCAGTCATACAACCATCTAGACATAGACTTTGGGTAGACCAGAACTGCTCAAAAACAACAGAATGAGGAGAGATTACATCTAAAATATGAGACTGAGCTGGCTGGAGGTGGGTTTTGATCTTTTAATACTAAAAGAGTTAAGAGGAAAGACAGGTTGTGAAGGGTTTCCAGAATGAAGTTGGTTTTGTGTGAAAAAACTGCTGGCATATGCTCGGCAATATGCCTGTCTTTGTGCAGTCAGCTGAAGTGATGGATGACGAAAACTTATCATTGTTTCAGATGGGATTTCTGAAGCAGAGCTAATTTCAAGGTCATAGAATAGATGTTCCTGCAATTGGTTTCAAAGTATTAAGACACATAACAAGTATTTTTGATTCACAGTGGATAAAGATTCCTTATGTCAGTAATAATGTGCAGAGAGTTGCAAGTCACGTGCATTGCCTGGATCTAGCTAGATACATATTTAGAAAAAGATGGGTTCCAGATGAAGAGCTCGAGCAACTGGCAAGATAAGAAAGCTTTCAAAAGACATCAAGGTTGAGAACAATCAGAAGAAGATTAAGGGTATTGTTTTAATATACTAAGCTTGACATCTCAATGTCTGGCTGGCAACTTTCAGAGAGATATCAGAGATTTCCATTTGGATAGCAGAAGCTTTGAACTGACAGTTGCGTAAATGTTAAGAACAAATTAGTTAAATTTCTATTTGGGAACGAAATAGCATAGGAAGAAAGAAAGATGCAAACTTCAATGTGCCACATAGAAAACTGGGGTTGAGAAGATGAAGGATGAAGAAGATCTGACAACTATGAAGAACTAAAGGAGAAGAAAATCTCCAGAAGACAATCAAGGTCAATTGCTTTGAAGGCAACTGACAGCAGAGAGAATGAAGCCGGAATTTAGGTTTTGACATTTTGTTCAAAAGCAGTACATGTGATAGATATAAGATAGGCTTCTTCACTTAATTCACAATATAGATGTATCACTAGGACTCACAAATGGTCCTCACTTTACGTAACTGTGAAATATGATAAAAGTAAAGCGCAATTCACTCTGTCACACAGTTTTCAGTTTAATACCTATGAAGATTCCATGCACCAACCTGAAAGGGGTAAAATAAAATAAATCTTCCTCCAGAGTTTCTGAACAATAAGGAATAATTAGGTACATTTGACTCTTGGGACTATACATATACACAGATACATTACATATATACATATATTTACATAAATGTATTTTAACTGTCTGCATAAGTTGTATTTTATGCTCAGATAATTTGGACATGTGTTTTGGATTTTGCCATTGCAACCATACGCAATTTATTAATGTGAACAAAAATAGTACAAAGACAGAGCCAGCTAAAACTGTTCTTCACTGGGTATCAATGGCAAGGATAAAAATAGTAGATTAGGAAAAAGCAGTTAAACTGCTCGATACATTTGCAAGGTCCCTTAGACTGCATTGTAAGCAATTTTTTCAAGACTGCGGATGAGGTAGGAAGAAGGCAAAGAAGGAACGGTGTAAATGACATAGCCAGCATGATGGACCATGGAAAGTATCTTTGTAGCAAAACCAACTTTCATTTTGGTGCAGATACAGCCTTCATTTTCTGCAGCTTACAGCAATTAGGCTGGTAATACTGACATTGATATACAAAAGGAAGAAGACCTGGAGGGTACAGGTACAGACTGCTAGATAGAATTCACCTTGTATGACTTTAAAGATCTAAACCACACTTATCTGTATTTGAATGAGTCTCTCTGCTTGCAGCCAACTGTGAGAAATAGGCACCTCCAGAATGGAGTCAACTGACCTCATATACGTGCCTTAAAACGAGGTGGTTATTCCTCTTCTTCGACTATAAAGCAAGCTGATGCTGATTATTTCACAAGTAGATTCCTAGGTTAGGGCAAATGAGTCTGGCTTTTTTCTTAATCCTTCCTTTAATTTCCTTGGCCTTTTTATAATTCTGGGGTGAATACTCAATACGGTGGTGAAATTCCAGCAGACTTTGGGGAGAGGCAGATGCTGTAGCATTTCACTGGTACTGTATAAAAAGTTCAAATGACTCTCACCATATTATTATTGTGTATTATCTACTCAAGTATGTATTAAACACTGATTGTATTCATCAGTCACACAGCGATACAGAGATTTCTTGCAAATAAAATCTTTCTTTCACATATGGCAAGAACTCCACAGCTCTATAAGGCAAGAGTGGTGCTGCCCTGTGCATGCAGACAGCCTTGCTCTTCCCAGTATCAATCTGTTCACTTATTCATAGAATCACAGAATAGTTTGGGGTGGAAAGGATTTTTAAAGGTCATCTAGTCCAACTCCCCCTGCAATAAGCAGGAACATCTTCAACTAGATCAGGTTGCTCAGAGCCCAGTCTAATCTGGCCTTGAATGTTTCCAGGGATGAGGCATCTATCCCCTCTCTGGGAAACCTGTTCCAGTGTTTCACTACCCTCATTGTAAAAAATGTCTTCCTTACATCTAGTCTGAACCTACCATCCTTTAGTTTAAAACCATTACCCCTTGCCCTATTGCAACAGGCCCTACTGAAAAGTCTGTCCCCATCTTTGTTATAAGCCCCATTTAAGTGTTGAAAAGCCACAATAAGGTCTCCTCGGAGACTTCTCTTCTGAGGCTGAACAACCTCAATTCCCTCAGCCTTTCCTCTGAAGAACAGCCAGAAGCTAGCCTTCTGCATGGAAAAGATCCAGTGGTTGGCAATGAGGAGACTCTGCGTTCGCACATTCTTATGAAATAACATGCGTATATCTCCTGCAAACTGGGCTAAGAGAATGGCTCAGGAAGTGTTTTCAAGTGCTTTTCTAACAGTGCTTTGTGCCTTTCATTGCAAATTCTCCCTGTTAACAGCGGATGCTTAAAGACCCTGAAAAATGAAAACCTACCCCATGTCTCTTCTGTTTTCAATTCAACTGGAATGAATTGTTCTAATTCTGGCATTGAAATCAAAACACCCTAAATTACAGTAATTTGTTTCTCTTTGTGAGTCATTATATACTCTGAGATTGTACATTACTCAGGCCTTCAGTAAGGGTCTAATCCTGCGGGCTTCTTCAGGCCAACGATCTCAGCTAAGCAAGCTGGGGCTTTGCTCTGTGGAGAACCCACCCCGTGTCCTGGCACAGGGCACACTCTGTGCTCTCTAGTCCCAGGCACAGTGAGGTTCTCCAGTTCTGTGATGAGGGAAATACACAGTGTCCCCAGCATGAGAAAACATCTTTCACTGCTGAGCTCTTGATGTTGATTGCTTGAACAGTTTCTGGTTGCTCATGGGAAATCCACCAGGCTGCAATCTGCCCGAAGAAGGCAGCCCCAAGGGAGCGGGAAACACACAGAGCATCCATCCCCTGGGAAATGAGATTTTGTCTCCCTCCTCTGGCTGCTCCAGGCTAAGCTCCAGCTGTTCTTACATTTCACTCTCCTGCAGTGGCTTTTAACCATTTCTGACTCCCACCTGCCCACACCCTGGTGGGGAGGAATGCAAGGAGAGGAGGTAGGAAATGCATCCCAGTTGTGTTCTTTAGCACCTAATGCTTTCTGGGATATACTGGGGTTGGTAGGGGGTAATATATTCAGGATTAAGAGGGAGAGTGTATTGGGTTTATGTGGCAAGGGTTTAGTAGCAACTGGGCTGTATGGGTGACTTCTGTGAGAAAAGACCAGGAGCTGACCCCATGTCAGACACAGCCAGTTCTAAGACAAAACCGCTGCTGCCCAAAACTGAGTCCATCACTGACGCTGGTAAGGCCTCTGTGATAACATATTTAAGAAAGGGTAAAAAAAGGCTGTGCAGAATCTGAGAGAGGGCAGAGTGAGAAAATGTGAGAGAAACAGTCCTGCAGACACCAAGATCAGTGAAGAAGGAAGGGGAGGAGGTGCTCCGTGCACCACAGCAGAGATTCCCCTGCAGTCTGTGGAGAAGACCATGGTGACATAGGTTGTCCCCCTGCAGCCCATGGAGGACAGCAGTGGAGTAGATACCCACACTTCAGCCTGTAGAGGACCTACACCAGAGCAGGTGAATATGCCCTGAAGGAAGATCAAGCCTGTGGAGAGGAACCTATGTAGGAGCAAGTTTTCTGGCAGGAACCATGGCCCACAGGGACCCACAATGGAACAGTCCATTCCTGAAGGATTGCACCCTGTGGAAAGAATCCACACTGGAGCATTCTTGGAGAACTGCAGCCTGTGGGAAAGACCCATGTTGGAGAAGTTCATGAAGAACTGCATCTCATGAGAGGAAGCCCATGCTGGAGCAGGAGAGGAGCATGAGGAGGAGGGAGGTGGAGCCTGAGGAAGAGTCTGAGGAGGAGGTAGAAGAGCTGGGAGTGAAGTTGAGACCGAGAGAAGAATGGGGTTGGGGGAAAGTGTTTTTAATATTGTTTTTATTCTTCAGTATCTTACTCTTACAATTAACTGTCGATAAATTACTTTAATCTTTCCCAAGTTGAGTCTGTTTTGCCTTTTGAGTGATCTCCCTGTCCTTATCTCAACTCATGAGTTTTTAATCTTATTTTCTCCCTGTCTCCTGAGGAGGTACAGTAAAAGGGCAGCTTGGTGGGCACCTGGCAGTCAGCCAAAGTTAACTGACCACAGAGAGGAATGACGAAAATCCTATCACTACTATTTTATGAGGGACATATAATAGTAGCACCTTGAGAAAAAAATTACCTGTAAGATAATCAAGGCATTCCAACAATTTCTTCTCCCTGGTAAAATCAAGTGCGAAAGTATCGAAAGTATCGTTGAGATTAATTTCAGGAATTAGAACCTGGGAGGATGCAGTTGCCATGGAAACCCTATAATGAATAGAAAGTCTTTTAGCATGCAAGACAATAACTTTCACATCAAGGTAGGATCTGAATATTATTGTTGTTGTCAATTCTCAAAAAGCTTGACAAAACTTTTACATGTATTTTATCTATATGGTATAAGTTAGGAGCTTCTCCTGTCACACTTATTTTTATGACTAAAGTCTCCAGTAAAAATCTATTACTTAGAGTTGCCTAACATGCAGTGTCAGGTAAGTTTTAAACAAAATATTAATTAAGCAACAATACACTTTGAATTGTTCCTTCTAGTCACCCACTGAACCAAAGTGGCAATAGCACCATATTTATCTATTTTAAGCAATCCTGACAGATGCTGCATCTCTCCCAACCCTTGTCTTCCCAAGCAGTTTTTTGCCCCAGGCATTCCTTGGCACTGCTGTCCTAAGGGCTTGGTGCAGATCCCCACACCTCCTCAGCTGTTCAGCACAACACACTGCTGCTAACTTCAAAAAGCACGGGGAGGGGGGAGATAAAACAAATAGATGTCAGCACAGTTTATTTTGAAAGGCTTTTCCCTGCAAAGCATGTGTGCATATTGACATTTCCTCCAAAATTGAAGTTTCGTTGCCTACCTCATTTCAGGAGCTACATCTACTTTTTGTCTGTCCAGCCTCACTAACATAGAACATGAGCTTTCCCAAGAAAATTGCCATCATGATGGATTTTTCAGCCTGGTACCTCAAAATATATGTTGTTGGAGAGCTGGACACTGGATATGTTTATAGAAAGTTTGGTCTGTTTAAGCAAAGAGATTGTTAAACCTTGTGTTATACAACAGAAATTTGTTAATTCTTTCAGTTTGGAGGTAAACACACAACCATGCACACAATGTATGTCAGTTATCTGTCATTCATGGCATGTCAGATCAAAATATTTTGATTGCTTCAATTAACAGTTTCCCAAATTGGAGTATGTCTCTGTAGACAGATCTCAAATGGCTCCAGGCCAAATGCTTACTAAGAACTTTAGTTTCATATATTTCTTGCATAGTATTTTAGGAAAATCCCATTAGGAAAGTAAAAACTGAGCTGCCCATCTCATTGTCTTCAGCACAGTTTTCAAAAACTGAGCTGAGGAGGCTTCTTAGTGAATAATTATTGCTATACAGTTTTCAGTGCTGTTTCTTTTGTAGTTGTAGAACTTAGTTTAAAGTAGATCCTAGTACAGATGGGTTCTTTTTAGAGAGGATAATTGAAGTGCCTTTTGCCCCATGTACTTGGAAAAATTCCTTGAACTCTATCACTTCTTTTTTTTTTCTCCCCCACATCTCCCACTCCCAGTAGTTCATCTGCAGTTTCACTAACATGTTTTTTATCTGGTAGGAAAAAAAGACATGCATTTCTTGTAGGGCCTGTGTTAGGGCAAACTCAGAGTGATACACACCTCTACAAAATTAACAAAGCCCTTGCTAGTAAACCAGCAAGCAGGTATCTGAGTTTCTCTGAATACCTCCATAAAGTACATATTTATTGTGAAGACCATATCACCAGGCCTTTTTGGACTGTTGTTTGGGACTATATAAAGGGTGTATTGTGAATAAGTATTTAAAGTCAGTTTTCAGTGAGCTCAGCAGTTCACAGTTTCAGACACCATGTCATCATATTAGGTTCAGAGGACCGAATTTCCTCTTGTACTTCTGTCTGCTCTATCTGACACTGTACTTGGTTGGAAAAGGTTTCTCCAGGATAAATGCATTTCACTCACTATAAATACTGCATGACCTAAATCACTGTAGTGTGCATAATGTGTTTGCTATACATAGTTACCTGTTGTGCTTACAACAGCGAATATTATTTTGCAATTACTTTGAAATATGTACATGAAGAAATTCAATGAGCATAATTTCAGGAGACTGTTTTAGCTGCTGGAGCTCAGGACCCTGGTGAGACTGTTACATGAGCAGTCTAGGAGCAAACAAAATATTGCTCATCACATGAGAACTAGGAGATTTACTTGTGTGGAATAATTTATTAATCAGATTTAGTCTCTTTTTCCACTTGGAATTTGTCTGCAAGCACTTGGTGTTTTTTTCCCCTCAGTTCACTGCTTGAAATGATTCTCTGATTTTAAGGGCGTTCACAACCATCTCATTACAGATAGCAATCTGTGACAGCCAAGAATTAGATTTGATTGGGCACATATGTCAGCTGGTCTCATTTCTGCTCTCTGAGTATTTCTTCTGTAACTGTATTTATGATGCAACTGTTCATGTTTACAAGGTGAAAACGGAACTTCTCTGAATTTTCTCTGGTAGTCATTTAAAAAGCTTTGTGTCTTCACAGGTTTCTGCCCTACTGCTTGTTCCAATGAATACTGAAAAAAGGCCAGACCTTCAGCTTTTCATAGAATCTTAGAATGGTTTGGGTTGCAAGAGACCTTAAAGATAATTTAGTTCCAACCCCCCTGCCACGGGCAGGGACACTTTCCACCAGACCAGGTTGCTCAAAGCCCCGTCCAGCCTGGCCTGGAACACTGCCAGGGAGGGGACAGCTACAGCTTCTCTGTGCAACCTGTGCCAGTGTCTCATCACCCTCACAGTATATAATTTTGTTCTTATACCTAATCTAAATCTACCCTCTTTCAGTTTAAAATCATTACTTGTCCTATCACTACATTCTCTGATAAAGAGTCCCTCCCCATCTCTCCTGCAGGCCCCCTTTAAGTACTGGAAGGCCGCTGTAAGGTCTCTCTGGAGCCTTCTCTTCTCCAGGCTGAACAACCCCAACTCTCCAGCCTGTCCTCATAAGGGAGGTGCTCCAGTCCCTCGCTCATCTTTGTGGCCTCCTCTGGACTCACTCAAGTAGGTCCATGTCCTTCTTATGCTGGGGAACCCAGAGCTGGACACAGTACTCCAGGTGAGGTCCCATGAGAGTGGAGTAGAGGAGGAGAATCACCTCCCTCAACCTGCTGGCCACACTTCTCTTGATGCAGCCCACGACACAGTTGGCTTTCTGGTCTGCGAGTTCACATTGCTGGCTCATAGTCAGTTTTCCATCCACTAATACCCTCAAGTCCTTCTCCACAGGGCTGCTCTCAATCCAGGTTTGTGGGTTTTTTTTTGTTTTTTGTTTTTTTTTGTGTGTGTGTTTTGTTTTGTTTTTGTTTTTGTTTTTCATGATACTCATGTGTGGTTTTAGTATCAGCTTCAGCTGGGAAAAGAAGTGCCACTGTATCTTGGTGACAGAATACAAACCAGGGTCTGAGGCTGACAGATCAAATGTAACTCATTACCCTGCCTTGCCTCACTTTCCTTTGCCTTGCCCCTTGCCTTGCTCAACAGATTTTCAATTCTCTGAGCCTGTAACAAGTGTTTCTGGCTTATGTATAAATAATTAAATAGCTTTAATGAAGCCTGATATTCAGAGAATATGTGTTCAGCACTCCAGAGTAAGTGACAGACTTTAAAAAATAAATAATAAGAGCAAGGAATTTCATGCTTTGGATTATGTAAAAATTGGCCAGACAATGTGAAGATACAGTGTGAACCCAGAGCTAAATATATAGCTGAATAAATGAGTATACTTTTAAATAGTTTTCTTCTTCATTGTCCAGATACATTCTCCTTCTTTTTTTTTTTTTCTCTGACTGATGGTTAAACAGCTGAAAATTCCAACAGAACATATTTTCATCACAAAAATTCAGTGGGAAAGTTTCAGCATTCAGGATGTTACACTGAAAACCAGGCCAAATTTTCTTACAGCACAATTTCCTAGAAAGACTGCTCCCTTGTCTTTGGGTCCTTGATATATCTGGCATGCTGAGATCAGCTAGAATCCTAGAAACGGTAGAAGTTCTCTGCACCCAGGGACCCAACACAGAAGTTGCCATAACTTCCAGACACCCAGGCTGTTGAATTGTTATACATTTCATTATCTTGCTGCTTGCTATTTTGTGAAGAATATGAATCCATTAAGATCACTCCAAATTTCTTCCAAGGTATGTACTTGTTACCTGATTTCTTTCTTAATATTAGATTTTTTCAAGGAGTAGGAATTAAGCCTCCAGAAAACTTCTTTTAGCATGTTTAACACCAGATATCTGTTTGGCATCCATGGTACCTCCTTCATTTGTGCGTGCTATTACTGTTATAACTCTTATTTTGCACCCTTTTTCAACTGCTCCTCTTTCTAAAGAGATGTTTTGGTTTAGCATTACAGTAGGGTCCTTCCCACTCTGGTATAGCACAAAGTAGTGTTCTGGGGAAATGTGTCGATTAACCCTCCCCACTTTGACACCCCTTGTGGGACAAGACATTATGGCAACTATGACAACCCATTTGCCTTAAGTTGGGTTTCTGCAAGAGGAATGTCTTCTTTACCTTTCAGTGATATTTTTAGCAGTTTGCAGGAAGCGAGCATGATCGTTCTCCTTCAGTGACTGTTCAGCCTGAGAGATGAGGGATGTTGAGCGCTCAATGCACTGTTTGCAGTTCGCAATCTGCTGGGCCAGTTTTCTCAACCTCACCACCTTGAGTGGAAACAGAAGAAAGTAGTCACATCTCTAAGGTCACAAATCATGACTGCATTTGCACTTTTGACGCAAAGCTGGAATGCAAAGGGGGAGTTAAAATGAATGGCTTCGTTGACAAGAGCTTCTTTCACACTAGCTTGATGGTGAGCCCCATCTAGCCACATAACATTTTAATAAGAGGACAGGCACAGCCTTTCTGCTTCAGTATTTTCCACGTGGAAAACAACAGGGGAGAGCCAAAACAAGCACAGCTGGCCTATTTTCCAAGAGAAGAAACATCATTTCCTGGTACTTTCTGCTTACATGATAACTAAGAGCTGTTTAGATAACAGTTTCCCTGAAGTGATGAGATCTGTATTAAAGACAGTTTAGAGATTAACTACTTTTTTTCTATTACTGAGGCGAGTTTCATAAAAGTAATTTGAAAAGAAAACTTGACAGAAGCTCAGTCTACTAAGAATAAATGTCTGCCCTTTTCATTACATGCTTTTAGTCAAACAGGGTGTTTTCTTCTTAGATATTTTTAACTGGACAAAAGCACAGTAGTGCTGGAGAGCTGATTATTACTACTGCAAATATGTGTTGGAGATAAACACAGTAGATGTGACTGTAAGCACTAGCTCAAAGGTTAGGGAGGGGCACAGTCAATCCTCCATTTAAAGACAATGTTGGCTAACAAAACTAGATCCTGAAAGGTCTGGAAGTCCTTCCCATTGTTATCACATCGGGATCATAGTTTGAACAGAAGTTAGAAATAGGAAGGAAATGAAACAATTCTGGAGTTTATAAAGGCATTAAGACCCATTCTCATGCAAAATGAGGAAACTAACAACCAAGTGGATTGGCAGAAATATCCAAATTTACAATCAAGATAACATTCTAAATCTCAGCAATAAGGGCACAAGCTATGAAGCTGCTGAGTTGAATTTCAGATAAAATTGCCTCCTAAGCAAAGAGAAGGGTATCTCAGTGCACCTACCCAGCAACAGAAACCAGTAGGAAAAGAAACCTTTTGGAAAAATTTCAAAAAGGAAATACTGACCAAATGATTAGTGTCCTGTAACACTAGTACTTTTTCTAAAGATAGAAACAATAAAGGGAGAAAAACGCTAGGAAAACATAAAGATTTTGATAATATTGATGATCTGATCAGCTTCTAGGATGAATTAAAGCCATAATGTTTACTCTAACTGTGCATTTGCAGAGATTACAATTTGGTCTACACCAATCTAACCGGGGAAAGATTCACAGAATCAGAGAATTGAAATATTAAGTACCTCATCTCTTTATTTACTTATTAAAAAAACAAACAACTGAAATAAATGTTACTCTGTAAGCTTTTAGCAATCAGAAGGCATGCCATGATTTGTGAGGTCTACATATGAACTAGGTGTTTGTTTTCTTGATTCTATTTTATATCTTCTTGAAGAAGGCAAGTGATCATAAATGTTAAATGGAGAGTCTTGTCTCACCCACTCCCCACCCCACCCCCCCAATGGCAGGAACGATGTCTGCACTAAAATTATCTATTTGATAGTTAAGGTTTTTTTTCCAGTTACATGCTCTGTGGAATTTTATAGGTTTCAGTGATAGGTTAGATAAAGGATGGAGCTGCACCACATTGTTAGATTCATGTGTCTGAAACTGCAGCCTTGCAGACATAGCTAGGATTTTATATCCCAGTGTTTTCTGCTCTGTAGCCCTAACTATAGTCCTATAGACAAACTTGCCGTGCCCTACCTTCCAGAAAGAATTTTAGGCACAGGCCCTCTTAAAAGAAGTTACCTTTGGCAGAATTTTTCTGTGGCTTTTCACATGGGTCTCTTGAACATCTTTCAACATATACAACATTTGGGGCAAACCATTCCAGATCCACTTTTGGTTGAACAAAGTACAGAAAAAAAAATGGGGATAGATTCTGATATCAGCTATACTCAAATAAATTTGGAGTCAATTGTATTATAAAACTTTCATGCTCTATTGGATGTTAGAATACATCTTTGCAAGCAATAGATTTTTTAAAAGCAACTCATGTACATAGCACAAATCCAAATGAATGGAAAGTTTTCTACTTCATTGGAAGCATAGCTGATCTCACTCCATAGAGAAATAGAGCTGAAACAATAATGCAGAAGGCCATCTTGTCCATCTGAAGGGAATTATATTTTGTCAACAGCATGAGAAAATTCAGGTTCTGTCACAGAATGTACAGGACCTGCGGTTTCAAACATGTTTAAGTCAAACCTTGCCTACAGGCTTTTTATTTCAAGTTAATTGAAATATCTTGACAAGCCCATGAACCATTTAACCTGCTCTTGACTTTATTCTTTTCCTGAGTTTTTCCCACACAAGAAGAGTTTATATTTGACTTACTTAGTTTAGCAGTTAAAGAGTAAACACCATGTACCTAGACAATAAGAACATTAATTCAACTCTAATGTGTTTCTGAGTTAACAGGCAGCTAGCGAAATGCATTGACACCTGAATATCAGCAATTTTTCCTGCTCAATGTTTTTGTCGCTAATAAACATTATACCTCAGTTATTAGAAATGCACACTTCAATTAATTTCATACGTGTTTTTGAATATTTTTTTGTAAATAAGTTACGACTTCCTATTCTTGAGAATGACAATGATTGAAACAAATTCTTTCTGTGATAGTATTTTAATACATAATTAAAGTACCTACACTAAAATATTCATGTAGATAATTGCCAACCACAATACCAAATGTTGTGGCACTTTGCAAAAGTGAAAACTTTCGGAGAAATGCTGTCAGACATATAACAGAGTAAAGGAATCATTAATTAATCATCATTTTATTATAATTTACTGATGGCAACATCATTTCTGTGTTTATGCTTAAAAATCGTAATCACTTGTAGTAAGAGAAATGCCAAACTGTTGAGGTCTAACATACTAATATTGGTATATTTCATTCCACTATATCAGGATTTTTACAAATTTGCATTAATAGTACCTGATATCAAAAAGCTGTAAGCATAAGGAAACAGTGTTGACCTACTTGTGATCTAAAGAAGAAACGTTTTTACCTTCCCTTCCTTGATTTTGGTTCCAATTATTTGTCGTCTTTGCTGGATTATTTCAATGAGCTGGTCACATTCTTCCATCAGCTTGCTTTCTTGGCGGGATGCATTTACCTACAAAGCAAACCATTATGATTAGCAAAACCTTTTTTTGACATTTTCCTTTTCCATTTTCTAATTCAAAAATTGTAATTTCTAAAATGCTGGGTTTGACATTTATTTATTCATTCCTTTCTATATATAATCTATCAGTTATTCTCTTTTCCCTGACTGATTTTGTGAAATACTGAAATGAGTCTGAATGTCTTGTTTGTAGGAGGTAAGACTCGCAAATAATAGATACTCATCAGATATTTCCAACTCATGTGAGAGAAGCCTGGTGGTGTGAGTACTGAGTGATGTCAGTTATAGCAGACATCAGTGAGAAGTGAAGGCTTTTCAGGAAATGCTTAACACATCACAGTTTCAAGCTGTATATACGACTGCAGTGAATACTAATGCATGTAAGAGCGTAAGTACTGGATCAGACACAGTCCATCTAGTGCAGTATCCTGTCTCTCACTGCTGCTAATGCCAGCATCTGCTAGCAAAGCATTTTCGGATGAAGTCCTGACATGTATGAAGATTCCCATGAGTATTTTCTCATCCTCCAACCGTTTGCAGCTCAGTGTCTTCTTGAACCAGACATAATTTCTACATCATTACCAATCCTCTGAAGAGTTATTTCTTGTGGATTTATTTAGTCTCTCCTTCAACCCCTGCAAACTCTGAGTATCCCCACCATCTTACAGCACCACAGCTTAATTCACAGTCAAGTGAACAACTGCCTCCTTTAGAGGGATCTGAACCTGTTTCCTTCCAGCTGCATTTAATGATCCCAAGTTCTTTTACTGGAAAGGACAGTGAACTACTGATATCCATCCACAATCTCTGTGCTGCTTGTGCTTTTATAGATCACTGGTTTGTCCTCTAGCAGGAAATCTTTCCTACATTGAAGAGTCTTAAGTGATTCAGTTTTACTTGTATGAAAGCCGTACCATACCTTCAATTATCCTTTGTTTTTCTTCTCTGAAACTTTGCCAGATTTATCATCTCCTTATTGATATGGGGAACAGAACTGTACTAAGTACTCAAGTGTAAACAAACTACAGAGTCATACAGTGGCACGATATGTTCTCTACTACATCTTGACTACCTTCATAATGATTCCTAATGTTTAATTTGCTGAATTTAACATATGAAAATATTGTTTACTATTTTCAGTGTCCACACAGTGGTTCCTGAAAGATCCAAGATACCAAAGATCCAAGTGACGTTTCCAAGTCCTGTGTATTAACTGTATTATTACCACTTTGCCTCAGCAATGACTCAGACAGATATAATAGCTGTGCTCCTGTAGTTTTCTACAGTATAAATATATGGCCAGTGAAACTATTTTTAATGCAAAAAAAAAAAAAAAATCCTCACAAAGAATATTAGCTTCTATAGAAAATATTGCATTGTGTCAAAAAATAAGAAAACTTAAACTAGTTTTGGTTCTCAGCTGAAAATGTTTTGTTTCTGGAGGAGACTGATTTTTTCAGTGAAAAGTCAACATTCTGTACAACAAGAAAAATGTTCTTCCCCACTAGCTGTAGTGTGTATAGCTTACATGTATGTGTAAAGAGTCAAGAGAAAAAGGCAAAAAGTTCTAATCATATCTAGAATAAAGAAAAAGTGAAATGAGTGATTTCGGAATTGTGTTTCCTTACATACTTTGTAAGAGCATAAAGCAGCCTTCAGCCCTGGCCAATTGCTCATAAAGCCACGCCACCTTTTCCATTGGACTAGTAAGAGCTAGTGGGAACAGTTCCAGGTGACAAGTAACTATATTTCACCCCTTGGTTATTTTTCAGCGTGATGAGCCCCTTGATCTGCCTCAGCCTTCTTTTTTTTTCTTCCAACAATGTGTTTAAACATGCATTTACCTGTAAGCACACTGTGGAGCTCATTAAGATTAAACAAATGCTTATATATCTAAATTTGGACCACGGCCAATTTTACAAATAACTCTGTGATGTGAAATACATTGTGTCCTCCAGGCAAAGAGGGGACTTGTTTACAAAGTCTTGCTTTCATTAACATTTTGGATTATCCTTCTCAAACTTTCATAAAATTAAAGTTTGATTGAATATTTTACAGGCTTAATTACTGATTAAGATTTCAGGATTATGAAAAGAAAATATATTTGTTTCTGGAAGGGGTCAGATGGTATTAAAAGTGCTGGGGAGATCTGCACATGGTAGGTGAAAATGTAGTTCCACCCAGTAGTTTTAGGTGCCTATTTATCATTTATCTTCTTACATTAGCTGTTGGTTGTGTCTGGTGTCCCACCATGCGCCATAAGGAGAGACAAACCATGGAGCAGCTCACCCAAAGCCTCTGGCAGCACCAGTGTCTCTTCACTGACTGCTCAGGGAGCCCAGAAGAACTAGTCAATCAACACCGTCCCTCATATTCCCTCCCTTTTCATCATCCCACCACCCTGGCTGCATCACACTCTCCCATCATGCACCACATTTTGGCACGAAACTCTGTAGAGCTGTTTCCAATGAGCTGTCCAAGGCACCAGTTTCCCCAGCCCTGACTCCAGTTTCACAAGTGGACTAAAATTCCACCAAAGAGTGGGGAATCCCAAATGGGCTCAGTCAGAGGCAATGATCACATCCACTGCACATGGACGCAACTCCTTCTGTGTTGATACTGAGGTCTGCTCATGCCAGAGCTGACTTTGGCACTTAATTACAGTAACACTTCACAGGATTTTTGAGTAGCTTCCACTCAATGTGTTACTTCTATCACCACTTACATCATGAATTCATTTTGTTGAGCAGATCTAATTAATCTTTGGGGTAACTGTCATGAAACATAGTTACAAGAAGGTTAAGTCAACATTGTTTCATTTAATGCTCTGGTTGGTTTGAATAATGATGTATTAATTAAATCTTAACTTAAAAACCTCTAGACTAAGAGAAACAAAATGCTTGGAAAAAACCTTTGGATTTCTTACACACTGACTGCAGACTTCTCTTTTTCTTTGAAACGTGAAAAGTATACTCTCTTATAAACTTCATTTGAAGACATTTCCAACTTTATAGCTTGCACAAGTTCATTAAAACTGAAAATAATATTCCAAAATTATTTGATATGTCTGAGCTTTGTATGAAAAAAAAAAAAAATTAATCTGGGGGCTTTCTCAAATTGAAGTACCCCTTAATCAAATGTTCAGCCTACAAGGCCTCTGATCATAAAGTAATAACTTTATAATTGAGCACATGCCTAACTTTAAGTGCACCATATTAGCTGTGGCCCTAAAGGGAGTATTTGTGAGATTACCATTGAATATTATTTACTTGTACGTTTCTGAAGAGTCACGTGTCAGACCAAAGAGCCACAGGCCTGGAGCAGAGCTCAGCCGTACAGGTGCTACAGAAATACCAGAATAAGGTTCTGCCTTCTTACTGAGTCTTTTGATGAATAGCAACCTTGACAATAACTTTCAGCTGGGGCTGGCCAAGGAATGCAAGTTCTGTCTGGTGAAAATATTTGAGGTTTTACATTCTACATTTTTCTGCATTAAAAACAAGCCATCTTTCCAAGGAGTTCATTAAAAGAGACTGAGAACAGCATTAGAAAAGTCTGGAGACTGCACTGCTCGCTTTGGTTGTGGGAAGCTCTGAATCATGCAGAGAGCAGACTTAAATCTGGGTTTCCTCCATCCCAGATGAATGTTGACTCCTTAATCTGAGATATCTATTGCCTGAGAGTTTATGCTGGACTTGGGGACAACTTTCTGTAGAAAATTTCACTTACAGTTAATTTTGCCATCAACAAATTTCTTTAAAATCCATGTCCAGAACTACTTTGAACCTAAAGCTTTGTGTTTTGTTGGTATGATTTTTATAAACTGCTCTTCCACGCCACAAAACAGTTCTAAAACTGAGTAGGAGGCCTTGTTACAATTTAGCAAAAATGTTGACATTTTCTACTATGAAGAAGGAACCAAGAACTGATTATAGTCCTGCTGCTTTTGTGGGGAATTTATTCTTATTTCTGTAATTTCTGAAGACCTCAAACAGAGTTTACTGAAAACAAAAATATTTTGGGGTTCTTTCCAGGTTTTCCAGATAGATGGATACAGACTGCTGCCCTTTGCCTCAGAGACTGGGTGTAGAAAAAAAAAGAAAAATGGGGGTTCCTCAGATGTCTGACAGGGAGCTGGAAACAACAAGCCCTCCTAACCCAAAGGGGAGAGCAGGCCAGCTGCTCCCACCTCCACAAGCAGAGAACTGCTTTGTAAAGTGTTCTGCTCTCTGCAGAGCGTTCCTTGGCTTTCATCTTCAGAGACTTGTGTTAAATTGCAGCTTAGGTCATAAGAAAATGAATGTGGTGGTTTCAAAGTCCCCAGCAGATGTTTGGGAAATCACAGAACTACAACATGGCTAGAGGTTCAAGGTTACAGGGGAGCTTCTATGGTTAATTCAAAGGCAGAGCGTCGGAGGGCTAGATTCATACCCATGAAAATTTCCTCAACTAACATACTGGAGTCAAAGGATTTTTTTAGTGTCTCATCAGAAATTTCCTTGCAGGAGCAAAATTCTCCCTCTAAGATTCCTTATGGGTGAGGCAATTTTGCCTGCAAGTGGAAATGCATGTGTATCTTTTTGGTAAATAATCTCTAAATGACAAGCAAAATAAGACACCATAAATTAGAAGTGGCCTGTTTTTTAAAGACTATCTGGAATAAATTAATCAAAACCAGAGTAATTTTAATTCACTAGTCCTCCACTGATTATGCAAAATGTAAGAAAGTAGGTTGTAGAAAGAGTCAGATCTTTGGGAAGTGAGGTATGAATTTGAGTTTGAGCTTCACTATTTAAAAAATGTTCTCAATGACTCAAAAAAAATTTTTTTGCAGTTGTGGCCATACAGGTACAGAAGAGGTATCAGCTTTTCTTTATGGGTTTGAGTTGATGGTTATAGAATTACTACATACTCACAAATAAATAAAAACATCAGAAAAGCAAATTGCAAGTTAAGTGATACCACTTAACAACTGTAACATCTTTGCCACATATTTCTCTCTAGGTTTTAAGCCTGAATTCCTTCTTATACCAAACCCAGTAATTAACGAAAAAAAATTCAAAAATGATGACATGTAATGGCCAGTATTTGTTTACTCTAGGGAAACTTTCTTCATTGTCATGTAGATGTGGAACACATTTTCTTGGATTAGAGTCTCTAGATGAATTAAAGTATTATACTCACCTAAAGAAAGAGGCTTATTTATTTTTTAATTACTGCATGTTGTAAAGAGAATACCTTTTCTTCAAAGAGACACAATATGTTAAAGTCATATTTTAACATCATCCATGTTTCATTTATTTATTTAATGGAAATACAAAGGATAATTATTAATGTGTATTTATGAAAATATTTATTCCCTTTCTTTTTATGGATGGCTAGACTGAATGAGAGTCATGGATTCAAATTTCTTCCATTTTATATTCCTGTTTGGTATTACAGGTTATTCAATTTAGTCTTCTGTAGAGCAAAAGCAACTCTGGGAATAATGCTTTTTCAGACTTTACCTAGTCTAAGCATAAAACTGATTTTATCTATTATGACGAACTATGCCTTTGGAAATACGTGGTATTAATCAGCTTGCCATCTGAATGGATCATCTACAACCCCTTTATTCTGAATTGGTGCAAGAGAAAAAGGAATGGTCATCTCTCATTTCAAGTGTGCCAGAGGCTTTGTTTTTGTTTGCATTCCACATCTATCTCTAACCAGGAGACCTGTGTTTAGAGGCAGTCTCAGAGCAGGTTAAACAAAGGTCAGTGCAAAAATACGGCAACTTACTCTGGCTACCTAGGAATTTTGTGAATGAAGAATCGATTAGGCCAGGATAGCTAAACCACTTTGTGTCAGGCTGATAAGACTATCTGCCCCAATCTTGACTAAAAGTAAACCTTTTGAGAAGTTTGAAATACTCATGTTACTAATTCAAATATTATTTTAACATTTTTTTGTCCCACTGTGCTTTGAAACACTTTGTTGAGAAACTAACCAGCAAGATGCCTAGCAGTCCTCTAGTGACATTTACAACCTAATCACAAAACAAAACCAGAAGTTTCATGGAAAACAAACAAATTGTTTTTATAAGAATTCCATTAAAAACATTAAAAAAATCTCAAATGATCTGGAAAGTTCTCATAATGAGCTACTCCAGAGATGTTTTTGCTGACAGCTGTAAAGCCCGCCGACTAGACTTGCTTCAATGAACCAAGTATTGTTTTTACGAAACACAAAATGCAGCATCATGTTGGAACTATAGCTGACATTTCTCAGGATAAGAAAGCACACTGGAGAAAAGACTTACTGAGAGACAAACTACAGTTTCAGAAGTGGGTTAAACTGCTTGGGATCATACTGCCAAAAAGAAAAAAGGTATTCCCTGTTTTTCCTCCATCTGCAGAAGCTGGTGCGGCCACCTGGGGAAATGGCTGGGCTGAGCTCACCTGGCTGGTGTGCCTGTTGCACAAACACATGGGAAGCAGGTAGACAAACACAATAGGGCAGAAGCAGAGGTGGGGAGACCTTTGGCATCAGTGAGTTTTAAGATCAGATTAAGCTGTTTGTGAAACTAAGCTATGAGGAATATTTTTTAAGATGCAATAAAAGTGTCACATGAATCATTTAATACCAGTCATTATTTTTGTTATGTGAGTCCTTTCTTTGAACCTAAATATTGAAAACATATTTTGAATTGAACAATATTTACTTATTTATTATTTCTATTTTGTTTTTCCTGCTGACATTAAGCCTTTGTTTCATGTTGAGCAAAATATTCCACTTGGTGTCTTTCATTTAGGGTAGAAAACCAAAACCAATTAAATAATCACTGAAGTTCAAAGGACTGACCATCCTTTGATGAAGGTGAAGCCAGTGCCCTTGTAACCAACAGTTCAGTACTTAAAACTCTCATCCAGGATCTGAGGTCTTCAGCCTAGTGTTTAACATACACACTAGAGGACCAGTGCCTTTGGTCTCCTTGCAGCTCTAATTGCTGTTTAGTTATTTATGCTAGGCAGAAAAAGGAGGAACTCAGGAGTATTTTGTTCTCATAATGGTAAGTGTCTCAAAGACAGAGGGTTCCAGAAAGTAACATTTAGACTGACAGTTGTATTCTCTGACGGCAGGCACAAAATATTACCTGCCTCATTATTAATCAGTTATATTAATATTATAAATCATTATTAATCAGTGATTAACAGTGAACTAACCCCCATTTTCTAATCTAAGGATAGTTTTGCAGGAATATCAGTCTAACA